CTGCTCACCTACACCTCATTTTCCTCACCATCGACTCATTAACCACCTTCTGCTGATGATCTGGGAGAACTATGTTCTGTTTTTTAAAAAAAAGCTTTGACATCCACAGAAGAAGCACATTAAAATATATGAATATATGTTACTTGCTTGTGATCATTCTTCTTCATGATGGAATAAAAATGTATCATGTTCACACAGAAGGCTACTAGGAGTAGTGATACCTCCCCTTTCAATGTGTTTTTGACCTACTAATATTTTAGAAGCCATTGTAATATGAATGACTGCTGGGAAAAATATTAAAGTAGTGAATAACTGTGTGAAACTAGCAATGTTCCAGATAAAGAATTCCCTTTATGGTGAGTGCATGGGGCTATGTAGGAGGAGGCAAAAAGAGTAGAGTGCATTTCTGTAGTGAAATTGGTTGAAAATTGGAGCAGGCATATTTTTAAGTTGATGATCTGTGACTACAACAGCTACATTTAAAAGTTTTAACGTTGGAAAAATTGGGTGATTTCTAGAACAAAGTCTAAAGGTCTCAGCCGAGGATTTCAGGGAAGTGGAGTGTTAAAATGAGGCAGCCTCTGAGCCAGCCAGTCCAAGTTCAGACCCTGCCCCTGGCTTTCACCGTGTGGTTTTGCCTCATTTGTTTCATGGTCCCGGCATTCCCACATCTGCCACGGAGGAAAGAAAAAGTGCCCCTCTCATAGCGTTGTGTCAGGAGTAAAGGCAGCTCCCTGGTATACAGTAAGCATTCAAAAAATGTTTACCAGTATTAATGCCATTATTATAGTCCAGATTGGTGGGTGGTGTTTTTATTTTTTCTACAATTCCGTCCCTGCCAACCTCTCAACATTAGTTTCTATCCCTTCCATTCTATGCAAGCCTCAGGCAAACTAAGCTACTGCATGTACATGCAGTTTCTCTGCTTTCTCGCTGTTGGCTTTGCTGTGAATAGGCTGAGTAACCACTTGGAGGGGATGTTGGAACAGCGAATGCAAGCCACAGAGGGAACTGAGTTGAAGGAGAGCCCCTTGCAAGTTCCTTTCGGCTTTGTGATTCCGTCAGATCTGCAAAGCAGACAGGACATTTCGGAGCACAGCACTGGACTTTCTCTAAGGTGTTTTAGGGTTTGCTTTCCTGTCATCCCCCACTCATTTTCAGCACACTGGCTGAGGGCATCTTCTCTTCATCACCCTCAGCCCAGTGTGGAGCCGTCACAGGTGGGATTCCTGGAGAAGACATTTCAGCTGAATGGAAGGCAGAGACGGGCTGCAATACAAGGGCATTCACACAATTGGTGGACACACGTGGGGCCTTGACCTCTGACAAGATGCTTAAATTCCCTGAGCTGTTTCTTCAGCAGTAAAGTGAGGATTTAGTCCCCACGGAATGGGGTGAGAAGTGAATTAGATGTTGTATACAGATTGTCCACACAAATAGCCTTTTCCTCCCTGCCCTTTCCTCTCCCTGTTGTTAAGGGGGGTGGGCAGGGGTGGGGACTCAGCCTGCGTCTTTAAGGGCATTTAGATAAACACGTGGAGATTGTGGGGCCGAAGGGGAAAGTGGGTTGCAGGCTGGTGGGGGCAGATGGTAAGAGGCCTTGAAATGCAGACAAAGGGACCTGAGCTTGAGAAAGCAAAGAGGTAGGAGTCTTGCTATTGTCACTGTCCCTCTGTTCCTCCTCATCTTCCTTTTCTTCTGGGCAGAGCTCTGCACAAAATTATCATAGCTTAAAAATAACAGGGCTAATATTCATGAACTCAGACTTCGGGGGTTGTTGCCCCAGGAGCACATTAGAAGCAAAATAAACTGCTCTGTGCCCTAACACTGCTTCCTGGTTCCACTGGGCACAGGTTTACAGGCGGGCCACCCTCCAATGCGGCTCACTAGGCACGTTTTTCACAGGGTGCTGGCACGCACAAGAGAAAGGCCCGGCAGGTGTTGGATGGTCTCTTCACTCACGTCTCATCGGAGAGCCCTGGCAGTTCTTCTGAGTCTCTAAGCCTGTCTTTTCTACTGGGATCTGAAAACCCCACCCCATGGTGCTCGCGTCCAGCACGAGCTAAACACTTATAAATGGTAGCTTCCATGGAGCAGGAATTGTCCCTGTCATCTGAAACATGAGTACTGAAAGGATTTAATTATCTGGAGAGGAAAACAAGGTGGTGAGGGCCACAGGTTCGGAGTTGGGTGAAGCTGATCTCAAGCAACTTCCTGGTTTAAACAAATCAGTTAAATATAATACCTTAACTGTTTAGTGAGCAACTTCTGTACTATCTACCAGGCCCTGTGGGGAACAAAAAGCCGCCTGCCTCGCGCTTCCTGGTGATTCTCAGACACAGCCTGTCTCAGGGGCATGCAGGCGAGGACGTTTATGTAGCCCCTTAGCGTAAATGACAGAGAGTAGATACGGGTCACGTTATCACAACAATGGTTGTCTAAGCATCAGTTTCCCCTTCTGTAAGCCTCTCCTCTGGACTGGCAAACACAAAAAAAGGCCAAAACAAATGCAAAGCACATCAATCAATGGGAAGTTTTGTTTTGTTTTGTTTTGTTTTGTAGTTTTAGAGACGGGGGAGGGGAGGGAGAAAGAGAGGGAGAGAAATGGATCTGTTGCCTTTCACACACGCCCTGACTCGAGACTAAACCTGCATCCCAGGCCTGTGCCCTGACCAGGAATCAGATTGGTGACCCTTCACTTTGCAAGATGATGCCCAGCCAACTGAGCCACACCAGCCAGGGCAGGAGTCATTTTTTTATTTGCTAAAAAGCTAGCAAAATGTCTCGTGTTCAATAGTAGTTTATGAGAAGTAGCTAATGCAAAAACATCTTCAATTTTTCCTTAATGCCCAACACTAAAATAGTTTGGTTTTTCTCAACCTTTTAGCCTGATAATAATACCAATCTTTTATTGGCATGCACAAGTCCTAAGCATTTAGGTCTCCAAAAAATTCTGTGAGGCACTAACATTATCCCACTTTACCAATGAGAAATATCAGGAGCAGAAACGTTGATGAACATGGCCAGGGTCTCTGAACTCTTAAGAATCTTCTTTCAGTTTGCATTTCCTTTCATCTGCCTCATTGTCTCCTTTTCCTTCTCACTAGGTTCCTGATAAGTTGGTGAGACTATTTCAGTATAGTACACCTCCCTCCCTTGCCCTTCCTCTATCTTCCCACCTGCCGGGTTCCTATCAGTATCCCAGCACAGTGGAAGGCTGCTTGTTAGCAGGCTAGAAAAAGTCTCCAGGCGTTTACACATTTCCACGCCTCCAGCTCCTTTGCAGACAGTGCTTTGGCAAGGCCTAAGCCTTTCTAAGGCAAAAGCTTTTAGAAGGAGAAGAAACAAGCTGGTAGTGGTTCCTTTGTCATGGGAGGCATGGGGACGAAAGAAGTGGTTCTTGACAGACACGGAGTGAAGGGGAATGGAATCGCGGAAGCTACAGAAATGGTGTCGGTATCCCGCAGCCGGCAGCTGACCTCGGCCAGAAATGCACGGTGTGTGATCTTTTCTGAGTTTTCACAACGAGGTGGACTCTCTTCAGGCCAGCGAATTAGGGGAGAGTGAGGGGTCTTATATCCAGAGAAGTGACCTCCTGTGTCCGCACGGGAAGGTCCAGAGCAGAATGGCAGTCACCCACCAGAGCGTGAACTGGGGAACCACACAATCGAGTCTGCCCCTCCCTTGTGCCCCAAGAAGAAGTCAAGTGCAGAAAGAAATGGGGAAGTCCGCGCTGCCCAGGCACAGGATTTTAAGGGTCTATAAACAGCCGACTCTAATCCCCCTCAGGCAAAGCATCCGCTAGAAACGTGATTAGCAAGGGGTTTGTGGAAACATTCCTTCGGAGTGCGGAAAAGGGAAAGAAGTATTGTTCGTACTGTTTTGCATCTCAAAACGATCTCAAGGAGGCCCTTTTCAACCTGCAGGCCTTTTTCCTTCCCTTTGCTATTTGCAGGGGCAGGGCGTGGCATTTGTAACTAGTTTCAGCAGCAAGGGGGGTCACTGATACAGAGTCAGGTGCCATTTTGAAAATTGCTTCTGGCTACCTAAATTTTCCATATTTCTGGATGTGACTTACAAGCGTACCTCGCAAACGTCTTGTGCTGAAAAAGTCTCCCTTCAAAATAGAGTTCGATTTTTAAATTTCATCTTCACATTTTAGAAATAAAGGATTGCTTGTACTTGGCATTCAACGCAGGCCTCCTTACCAATCACTTTTACAATTTAGGAAAATAAGGAACAGGAAAGTAAAAGAACTTCCTCACTGTCAAGCTGTTAAGTCAACAGCAGAGCTTGAACTTGACTTATTTTCCTAAGAGAGAGGCGTTGAACTTTATAGACTCCAGGTAAATTAACCTCAAGCAAACAAATATTCCAGTTATTTAATCTGGGTGTTCACGAAATTACAACGGTGAAAAAAAAATGCATGTCACGGTGCGTTAAAAAAAAGCACTGTAGGGTGACATGTCTCCCACACAAGTCAGGAAGAAGACCAAGGGCCGGACAAAGAGGGCCGGGTGGAGCGAAGGCCCTCCACTGGCCTGAAAGCTGAGTCACACGAATCGCACCCCTGCAGTGGCCGTGGCTGGGGGCCCTCCTACGAGGTTACACCGCACCCTAGCTTGGAGATGGCTACCTTAGACAAAGCCAGATTTGCAGTAAAGGAATGCCCGTCTCTCTACATACCACTTAGGTCCCTAGTTATCCTTCTCTGTTCCCCACAAGCAGATTTGCGAGGCTGTTGCAAAAATCCATTATGATAAAACAGACATAATAGGGGAAAGGACATTATGAAGGACGTGTTGGAGACTGGGATTTTTTTGCTTGTCCTATTATTATTATTATTATTATTATTATTATTATTATTTTGCAGTTAGGGTGCATTGGTGGATGCGGGCGGGTAACTCAAACGCCAGGTAGCCACCCCTCCACCCCCCACACCCCGGACGCCGCCCGCGACCCGGCGCGAAGGAGTTAAGCGGTCGGGTGCTGACATCACCTCATTTACATAGCAGAGCGCTTATAGCGGTGCCCGCCGCCCCCGTCCGGCATTCGGCGGCGATCTCCGAGCAGATTGGACTCTTCTCTCGTTCGAGCGCCTCCCTCGGGTGAGCCCTGGGACCCCTGCACTAGACTAGCGTCAGCTTCCTTCCCATCCGGCGGCCGCGCTCCCCTTGCGGCGCCCGCATCCCTATTGCGGCAGCGCTAAAGCAGACCGCACGTGGCACTCCCAACAAGGGCTGCTTTGGAGACCTGGGGAATGCTGAATCCTTGCAGATACCGGTTAACAGGGGTCGGGCCCGGGGTAATTAAATTTTTAAAAAAGCCACAGAAACGAAAGGAAAAAAAAAACCAACCGGGTGTTTTGTCGAGTCCTGGAGGGCATTCTCCATTACCTCCTGGGCAGCAATAAATCAGGGACAGAAAGATTCTTTGTTCCAACTCACACCCATCTTAGCCCTGAGGTAAAAGAATTACATTTCTCCTCTAGCCTCGGGTGGCTTCCTGGCCAGTGGTGTCGAAGGAGTAAAAAGCCCTTGCGGGAGACTGGGTGCAGAGGTTTGCGTATTGAGGATGATTTAGGGGGGCAGCGTTGTGCGGCTGGCTGCATTGTTGCGCGCCGGGGAGGAAGCGGGTAGGGCGGTGGTCGGAGGCGCCGCCTTTGTCACAAAGGAAAGCGGCACAGGCCGCACATTTGCAGGGAGAGAGCACCAGTAGGAAATGGAAACACTCTTCTGGGTAACCTTACCTTTATTTTAAGAATTTTTCTCCCCCATAACCTCACTGCTCTCCTAGCCAGATTTTCATGATAAAACGTTGCAGTTATCCGCAGCACTCAGTCGGCCTCCTAATATGAGAGCCATCTTCCCAGGGTGGTCCCCACATTTCGCAATACTGCAACGGGATGGGGGGACTTTTTTTTGTAGAAAGACGGGGTTTTAGTCGTGAATGACTGCGGAAAGAGGCGGAGGTGGGGTTTCAGAATGGGGATGCGAGGGCCAAAGCGCACTAAGCCAGGAGAAACGAGACTGGGTGGCTCAGCCCTCACACTCCCTCCATGGCTTTGTATCTGCAGCTTCCTCAGCAACCATGTCTGATAAACCCGATATGGCCGAGATTGAGAAATTCGATAAGTCGAAATTGAAGAAGACAGAGACGCAAGAGAAAAATCCACTGCCTTCCAAAGAAAGTAAGCTCAAGCCCCCCCCCAGGCTGGGCGGGAGTCGAGGGGGGGGGATGGAGGATGGGAGGGGCCGGGAGAAGAGTTGGGGGGAGGGCGGGGGGAGAGCCCACGGTTCCTGAATAATGGCCAGGAAAGTTTAATTAAAAATGCTTCTGCAGCCGACAAACAGGGCTTTAATAATTGGTGCAATGATTAATTTACTGTATAAATATGCATACGCTTTTGTCTGGTATTCCTAGTTAATATAAGCCTTCATGATGAAATGCCTATTGATACTCATAGGATTTTTACAGTTAGGAAAGATGTTTTAAATGAAAGTACTATGATCTTACACTAGACCACACCGAATCTGCATAACCGATCCCCTCCATCTTTTTTTTTTCTGACCACAGCGATTGAACAGGAGAAGCAAGCAGGCGAATCGTAATGAGGCCCGCACCGCCAATATGCACTGTACATTCCACAAGCATTGCCTTCTTATTTTACTTCTTTTAGCTGTTTAACTTTGTAAGCTGCAAAGAGGTTGGATCAGTTTAAATGACTGTGCTGCCCCTTTTCACATCAGAACTACTGACAATGAAGGCCGCACCTGCCTCTCCCATCTGCCTCTCTAGCTGGCAGGGAAGGAAAAGAACTTGCATGTTGGTGAAGGAAGAAGCTGGGTGGGACGACAGTGAAATCTAGAGTTAAAACCAAGCTGGTCCAAGGTGTCCTGCAGGCTGTAAAATGCAGTTTAATCAGAGTGCCATTTTTTTTTGTTAAAATGATTTTAATTATTGGAATGCACAATTTTTTTAATATGCAAATAAAAAGTTTTAAAACCTGGCTGGTGTGACTGTTTGGTGTCTGGAGAGAGCGGCTTATTCTCAAATGAAACCTTGGGAAAAGGGCCCAACTTGTGGTCTCACTGGGGAGTGGTCAACGATAAACATCTGGTAGAAATGGGTTTCACCCAGGTGTGTGAAATACCTTGTCTGCTAGGTAATCGGGAGTTCATTTACTTAGGCTGATTGAATTCCTAGCCTTAGATGCATGAAAACATTGATAAAATAATACATTTGCAGTTTGACACACCCAATGCTGAATTGTGTCTGATCAAGAAAAGTGTTTAAGGTGTCGATTGAACTTGGCTATTTAGCCAGCTGCCAACATTGTAAATAGCATTAGCAGTGGCTTTATGAAAGGATTCTACACACTTTCCTATTAACGGCTGGTTCTAATTAGAATTCACTTGAAATTTGTTTTCATAAAATAAGTGCATCTGCAATTAATAGAATTTAAAAATTAAGTCCTTTGAATAATAAAGCCTTTGGATACTGGCAGGAGTGGGTTTCACTGGCTCTTCAGGGCTTACCTTCAGTCATTCATTCTCAATCACTTGGAAGTACCTATTTTAACTGGTGACTTGGGGTAAAATCCAAGCTATCTGGTGGCAATTAATGGGCAGAAAGATGGCTCTAGGGGATCAGTTAAAGGGAAATATTTAAAAGTACCCAATATCTTTTAAGGTTCACAGGACAAGTGTCCAAGTTAAACTCCCCCCACCAAAAAAAAAAACAGACCTATGAAAAAAAACACCCTCTCTGAAGGGAGAGATGGGGAACACAAATTGTTGATCATTATTAAAATGGCCGATTTCATTTCCTTTGCTCAACACTTATTTTGAGAAATACACAGGAAACCATTTACCTGTGGTTTAGCTAGTCAACTGCACCAGCAGCTAGAAGCCTTCATCTGCGTTGCAAGGGAAGGGAGTGTATCTGGGCTACAAAACCTGCAGTGCCCGGCCTGCCCCAGCGGGGAGCCGGAGAAGGAGGTGAGCACAATAACTGGGAGCAGACCCTCCAGACCTGCATTTTTTTTTCCTGCTGCAAGAAAGGGTGTGGGCGGGATGAAAATGCCCAAGGCATACACATAGACCAGGCTCTATAGGTTTTTCCTGTCTGCATTTTTCAAATAATGCAAAGATAGAATAGGATTTTAAATAGACACAATGCCAGCATTCCTCAGTTTAAAAAAAATAATGAGCTTTAAGGGGAAAGGGATGATTCATGAAATCAACTTATGGAAGAGAAGACCTTTCTCTCCTGGGAGGTTAAAAAACTAAAACATAGCAAAAAAAAGTGAAATGAAAAATCTGGTAATAATTGAATTCTGGCAGCTTGGTGCATGTGGGATGGGCGAATTCAGAGGCTTCCGCACATACCACACTAAACTGCACATGGGAATGGGGGGTTGGAGAGGCCACATTTTTTTTTTTAATTTGGGGAAGAGAGTTCTTTTTTCTTCCCAGAGGAGAATCTTCCCAGAAGCTCTGGGGATATTCATGAGTCAGTCTGGGAATTTACGCTGCTATTTAGGAGACAGCTTGGAGAGGACAATCTTTTGGGGGATCGGGCCACTGCACCCCCTCTTCTTTGACTTCCTCCCCGCCCCTCAGGAGGAAACAGGCCAGGGGAGATGAAGAGCCAAAGGCCCTACGGTCCTGTCTGGGACTTGTGCAAATTTTGAATTGATCAGACTGAATAAAGCGAAATAGAGGAAGTAAAAAGAGGCACACCAGAGACTCTTGGGACAGGCGCATTCATTTCTAAATCTCGCAGGTTCCTCACCCACCGCAGCCACGTTTTCAGCCTTCTGAAGGGTGGAATTTTAAATCTATTCTTCCCGAAGAACAACACAGCTCTTGGGCTACGTGTGCAAGGATCGAGTGTGTGTGTGTGTGTGTGTGTGTGTGTGTGTGTGTGTGTGTGTGGCGGGGGAGGTGAGTGTGTACGAGAGATAGGGCATGCAAATCCCAGTAGACTTGGAGCCTCTCCCCTGACCAGGGCCTCTCATCAATCCCTGTTCATCAGGCATCCCCCCCACACCCTGGGACTTAGATATTGTCTCCTTTAAATGCACCAGGAAGATTTTTACTTCCCTAACCATGCATCTAACTCCACCAGACACAAAAAATAAAATAATTGTCTATTTTTTCTCAATGATGGGGCCAATTTTCTGCTTACTAGAAATAACAGTGAATTTTGGAACCAATACTATGGCCAAACAAACAAACAGAAAAACCAACCCCAAAACAAATAAACCAAAAAAAACACCCCCAGAAAACCTGTCGTTCAGCATTTCTTAGTTTAAGAACTCAAAACAAACCAAAAAACCCCTCTTCAGCCTTTCTTAATTGAAGAATGTAAATTGAAAACAGCATTTTACAATGTTGAAAGCACTTAAAGCTTGATTTATCATAGTAACACCTTCACCCACTTTTGCAAGAAAATATAAAACTTACACCGTCCCTCACCCCCAGTTTCTCACTTTTAAGAGTGACTTGCACTGCAATCTAAGAGAACTAAATACACCAATTTGAAGTTCAAGTAGATTGTATTTGCATGTAACGAGAAGAGGCTAAATTACAAATTTAAGACACAGATGTGCCATGAAGTAAGCAAAGGAGAGACTCCGTTTCTAAGACCTGTATTTATAACCTGGCTTATTTTTTGCCTTTTATCTCTCTAGTCACGTTGCATTGCTACAGCCACCCCTGCTCTTGGCTCCTGAGACTTCTGTGCACAGGGTCTGTGCACTTTACGTTCACATTCGCATATTCTCTTAAACTCAATAGTGTGTCTTACGCCCAATAGTGATGTACACGCATTAGGGCGTCAATACACACTTTCCTCCTCTTCCTTGGTGGAGACTCCACTTGACACGCTTGTCTTGGGGCGCCATTGAATGCATGAATGTCATGTGAGATAGCACAATTCTAAATGTACATATTTTTACAAATATTTAAAGGGTTTTGAATGCTAATTTGCCACTGTCTGTGGTTGTGCTTATTTTGAATCAGTGCTTATAGCCAACTACATAGTATTGAGTTAGGGCACCGAGTCATTGGTTTACTCCAAGTATTTATGAACCGCCCAGCACCTGCCTGGTATTTTATTTGTCACCGAGATAGTCATAAATAAGAAGACCTAGTCCCTGTCCTCATGTGTCTTCCCTCAGTTAAAGATACCTTTTTCATCTGAATCTGAGTGGAAAATGCTAAAAAATTATTATTTTCCATTTCTAGGGTAAATGCTCAAGCTAAGGGCTTTGAAGTTTTAAGTGAGTGTTAAGATGTATTCTTTGCATCAGTGTGGACTTTCCCCCAAAGGTATCCATAATGATTACATTAAAATTCCTCCAAAAGTTCAATGGAGAATGCAATTTGATGGAAACCAAATGATCCTTTGCACCACAATGAAATATTTTAAAAGCACAGAAAGATTGGGCCTAATAACTCTTGTCTGTTAGCTTTTGATAACCCGTTATGAGGCATGCTCAAGATTTAGGAATGGACTGAATGGACCTTGTTTTAAAAATCTATCTTTTTCTAGAGTTTTATGATGTAGATGCTGACTTTCCAGAGAAATATTTCTTATTGCTGATTTTTAACCTTTTCCCTGTTGGCCTTCTTTCTCCAATTCAACTGTAAGATTGTTGGGGGCAGAAGTGGTCACTCGAATTTTGAAATTCTCTCAAAGAATGTAGCAAAATGACCAGCACGTGAGCACATCCATAAGCATAGCACCCCTCTGATGGACAGCTGGGTGGTATTTGTTTGGTAGGATTCCACAGCCTTGAGCTTCAATGGAGAGGGACAAGTTACATTCACGATCTATTCAAAGCTGTCGGAGCTATTCCTGTCACATTTATTGTCAAACCACAGGAAATTATGTTTTTCCTCATTACCACACGGAGCTCTGTAAGTGGCTGATACCCTTTGGCTACAGAGATACTTTGTGATAGTGTTTTCCCAACCTAGAAACAAAACTATTTCATAAGATGAAATATATATTATACTATCAATATATCGAGTGCCATCCAGTTATTTCAACCTGAAGTAATGGCTTGTGTGGAGGGTGTAAAGAATGACTTCTTATTTACTCAATAAACCTTTAACGAGCACCTCCTGTGTGCCCAGCTCTTTCCTATTTGCTGGTAGTAAGGAAGATGAATCAGCCTGGGCCCGACGGGAGAGGCAGACCTGCAAGAGAGACTAGTCGTAGACAGCATGAGTCAATGAGCCATAGAGCTGTTCCTTTACCCAATGACTATTCACTGAGCTCTACCTTGGGTTGGAAGAGAAAGTGAACACAGGTTCACTACCTTGGGTTGGAAGAGAAAGTGAACACAGGTGAAGGGCCCCTATGCCTGGCTAAGGAATTTGAGAATTACCTTTAGGCCATTTGGAGATATCAGAAGAAAAATCGTTTAGCCCACATGAGACAGCTTGTAGACTCTTGCTGTTCAGAATGTAGCTATATTGGAGGAAGGGCAAAGAAGAAGCTGTTCATACTTGTCATTGAAAAAGCAGATTATCAATGTTACATTAATATAGTAGAGATGATAATAAATCACACTTTTATTTGTTTGTATTGCCTAGTGTGCATTTCAGTACAACAGGCTATAACACCTCCATATTGTAAACACTTTGCAAGTTCATTTGCTACCAGTTTTTATGATGGTGTGGACAGGGAGTTAAAATATTTGAAATAGTTAAAATGACAAGTTTTGGTGGGATCTCTGAGGTTTACAGTGCCTTACACTAGGGTTTGCACATCAAAAGCTGATTGTCTATCATGTGTAGTTTCCTGAGGCTGCTGTAAACAACAAAAAATCATTCTCTCACATTTCCGGAGGCCAGAAGTCCAACATCAAGGTGTCAGTGGTTACCAGATGGAAAGGGGGGTGGAAGGAGGTAGAGGAGGGTAAAGGGGGACAAATGGAGGTGGAAGGAGACTTGACTAAAGCTGGTGAACATACAATGTAATATACAGATGATATGTTGTAGAATTGTGCACCTGAAGCCTATATAATTTTATTAACCAGTGTCACCCCAATAAATTCAACAAAACATTTTTTAATAAATAAAAATAAAAAGTCACTCCCTGCTCCCGTCCCCGGAGGAAGGTATTGGCAAGCCATGTTCCCTCCAAAGACGCTGGAGAGGATCCTTCCTGCCTCCCCCACTTCTGGTGGTTTCAGGAGTTACTTGGCTTGTGGATGCATAATTCCAATGTCCACCTTTGTCTGCATGTGCCCTTCCCTGTCTCTGTGTCCTCTACTCTTCTTTCTCTTCTAAGGACACCACTCATTGGCTTTAGGGCCCACCTGGGTACTCCAGGATGATCTCATCTCATGATCTTTAACTACATCATGAAAATTTTTCAAATAAGTTAACGTTCACACATTTCAGGGATTTGGAATGGATAGAGGTTTTGGGGGGCCACCATTCGATCTACTAGGAATGGTGAACAATAGGTCCCCTAGTAGAGGCACTGCATCGTGATGGTTGAAGTGGTGACCTGGAAATCAGTACTGCAAGCAGGGATAGTTTACTGGGTTTGTGGGAGAAGAGGGGATTACAGGGGTTTTTTTGTGTAACTAATCAGAAAGTTACTCCATGATATAAAGATTAATATGGAACCGTGAGTAAGTGGAGACAAAGGGGCATGGAATGAAAAAAACATCAAAGGTTTGGGATCGGTCATATGTTTACCGTGATTACAGAGAAGAATAGCAGGGGTGGTTATAGAAGAAAAAAATTACGCTGGTATAGCAATTTGAAATGTCCTCAAGGCGAGTGAAAAATACCATCTGGGAATATAAGTATATATACTATTATAAGTAGTTGGAGAGAGGCCTGTCCTGAAAATTAAAAAGTGAATAAAGTAGAAAAGAAGATAAACTGGATTATTTGAAGACAGGATTACAGTATACAACCTTGAACTTGGCATTTCAAAAATTATTGTTAACTTGAGCTGGGAAGATGAGAGCACCATGAGTTCATGTAGCCAAACATACGTTCATGAAGCTACACGTGAAAGCCTGTGGTGTGCCTCGGTTCCAACAACTTTCTCTGGAAAAGCCCCACGTTATAACAGAGATGCATGAATACGCTTGTGTACCAAGAACAAACATAGTGGCATCTAAAGTCTTGAGCATTCATCCAATCAGGGCTGCTTTTCTGAAATAGGTCATGAAGTTTCCCAGCAGGAGAGACGAATACCAAAAACTAAAGCTATTTAGGTGTTCCCCCCGAGTTTCACAGAATTAATGGTTCAGATAAGAAAGAGGTGAGGTTAATTGAATCGAACTCAGACATTAAGAACCATCAGCCCCAAGGAAGGCTGCTCCACGCTTTTGACCATATTTCTTTGAAACAGCCACAATTTCTTTTCTCTCTCCTGTTCTCCTGGAAGCCGACACCTATGTACGTTGACGTCTGTGTATGTTCAGAACTTCAGTGGCATTCGGCTTGGCAGAGGCCAGTTGCGATGGGCCCCTGACGCAGCTCTTTGTACACAGGTGATTCTGATTAGGACCTTATTAGGGAGCAAGGGTAGTTAGGGCATTGGGTCTTGGGATCAGGTGAACAGAATTGTGAGGGCCCCGGGCTTAGCCAAGGAAGGCAGGCTAAGGGAGGAGGCTCCAAACCAGTCAGCTGACTGCCATTCTGACCTTTCCTTCGCTACCTCGGAAGCGCCGTGCTGGTGCCACAGCCTGGAGTGTGGTTTTCAAATGTGGCCTGTGTCCCCCTACAGTTACAGGAACTCAATTTAGTGGATTCTTGTCAGAGTTGAGAACAAAAATTAACAACAACAAAAAACGAACAAGCCAAAACAAATCCCTGAAGAGAAACAGAACAGGAATGACCAGACTCACCTGCGTGGTAAGGGTTAGCATTGTTTAATCAAACCTCTGTTTCAGTTATTTGTGTGGGAGCGTGTATGTGTGGACTGGCCTGTGATGTAAACTGTTTTTCTCAGCATGAGTCAGAGTCACATTAGCAAGACATCCATTCCCCACCTCTGGCCTGCTCGTGACCTCCTTTCCTTTCTTTTCTCAGTCCGGTTTCCATGCTTAACCCCTACACATCGACCCTAACTCTCCTCCCCCTGTGCCCTGCTGACGTCATCTCGCATACCCCAGGCCTGAGTCCACTCTGAGAGCCTGTTTCCTATTTCTTCATGCAGGCTCCCAGGTGCTGACAGACAGAATGACATACTTCCATGTTGTCCCCACTAAACTTGTCACCTGTTCCTGGTCAGCAACCTAATAGCTCTGCAACCTTGCATACACGTCATAACTTCTCTGAGTTTGACTTTTCTCATCTGCAAAGTGGGCGGAGGGAGTGTCCTAACACATGGTCTTGTGAGGGCTGAAGGGGTCATGTACACCTGGAACATTCTATGTGCTCAGTAGATGGTTGCTTTTATAATGACATTCTCTTACATAACCATAGTACAATGATCACATTCAGGAACTTAACATGGATACAATACTACTATTATCTACTATAAATTCCGTATTTAAATGTAACCAGTTCCATTAGTGTCTGTGACAGCAGCTTTCTTCCTCCTCACGGGGATCCACTCCGGGATCACACACTGCATTTACTTGCCCTGTCTCTTTAATTCAAAACAGTCCCTGCACTGTTCTTTGACTTGCAAGACATTCATATTTTTGAAGGGTACTTTGTAGAATTTCTCTCAGTTTGGATGTACCGGATGGTGTTTCGTGATTAGAATGAGATCGTTACTTGTAGGGACAGCCCATAAGGGATGCGCATCCTTCTCAGGGTCTCCCATAGGAAGAGGCTCCTCATGTCAGTTTGTGCCGTTCACTGACAATGACTTTGATCTCGTGTTTCTATGGTTGCCACCAGGTGTGTGTGCTATAAAACAATTGTGTTCCCCTTTGTAATTAATAAGTAACCTGTGGGAAGATAGTTTGAGATTCAAGTCTGGTGTTTCTCGCCAGACTTTCACCAAATAGTTTTGGCATTTATTGATGATTCTTACCCGCATTGATTATTTCTGTCATGTCAGCAAAAAGGTAGATTTCTTCCCTGGCTGCTGTGGCTCAGGGGGTTGGGCATCATCTCATAAACCAGAAGGTCACCAGTTCAATTCCCAGTCAGGGCACATGCCTGGATTGTGGACCAGGTCCCCGGTTGAGGGCGTGTGAGAGACAACCAATCAATCAATGTTTCTCTCCCTCTTTTCCACCCTGTCTAAAAATAAATAAATAACATCTTTAAAATAAAAACAAATTTCTAACTCTATCATTTCTTCTAATGTAACTTGTTTTTGCATTCCACCTTATACGTATAAACCAGTGAGTACAATTTCAGAATTTATATGCTGACAATAATAAAGATAAAAGCGTCTTATATATGTAGGCCCATGGGCTCGTTCTGCTAGACTAGAGTCACCCTTATGAGAGGCCGAGCTATAAGAAATATTTTCAAAGGCCCTTTTGAGATGTGGCGGATAAGAGTCCTATGCTGTCATTTCCTCTTCAAGAATCAGCTTGGGGCTTGTTTGCAGCACCGAACTTTGGCCCCCGTTGTGGCTGTGATTTTCAAGAATAACACCGATGCACATGTGTACATCACATTCAGTTCAAGCTAGAACTTTAACACTGAATTTGGTCAAAGATTATTCAGGATCCGGCAGGGAAATGGCTCGTTCTTTTTTCTGCATGGCTACCACAGGGGCTGGAAGTGCGGGGGGAGAGCCTTGCCAGGTCCCTTGCTGGACAAAGGATGTTTGCATTGTAAAGGGCAACTAGACAGAACTGGAATAACAGGGCGAGCCCTTTAGCACCAGTGCCTCTGTAACTGTAAAACGGGAAGAAGGCTCCTGCCCTTTCGCTGACAACCACAAAGCGGCTTTAGAATTGCGAGTTTGACTGCAGTCAGGTGCCTGCGTTTCAGCAAGACTTGAACAAACATCACCTGCTGTACTGGGCAAACACAGCTTCCCAGCACCGGCACGAGAGGCATAAAAGGTAGAGCTTTCAAGGATGTCTGGCTCTCTCGCATTTTCTATGTGGAAAAAATGTCTTTATCCAAATATTGCTGTTTGCTTATAATCACTGTACCCTATTCTATCTGAGGCTTGAGGCGAGTGCTAAGGCAGCCGAATACCTGAGCCATGACTCACCGCCAGAGTAATTTTAAAGATACTCTGGCTTCCTATTTGTGTGGAAACCAGGGAAAAGTCTGATTTCAATGGGGGGCGTATATCCTCAAAGGAGGCAGAGCCTCTAGTAGGTAGCACTTGACCTTTTAAAAATTTTTTTAATTTTTAAAGTTTTACTTATTGATTTTTTTTTACAGAGAGAGAGAGATTTGTTGTTTCACTTATTTATGCATTATTTATTGATTCTTGTATGGGCCCTGACCAAATTGAACCGGGCTGGGTAGCTCAGTTGGTTAGAGAGTTGTCCCAACATGCCAAGATTAGAGGTAAAAGCATTTTTAATTATTCAATTTTTGGAACACACAATACATTGATATGGGTCAAATATTAAAATAAATATGAGAAGTATCTTCTCATTCAGCTGGTTCCCTTGCTCCCTTTGGGTGACACTTTTTATTAATTAATATTAATTATATTATTAATCAATTAATTATTAATTATTATCCACTGTATATGCACAAGCACATGTATTTATCTTCCCTCTTGTTACACAACTGGTATTTAAGTCATCTTTCTAATATAGTGTTCCTCAACTTTTTTTGAGTTATCTTTTACTTTAAAGATTTTATTCATTTATCTTTAGAGGGGAAGGGAAGGAGAGAGGGAGAGAAACATCAATGTACGGTTGCCTCTTGTGGGTCCCCTGCTGGGAACTGGCCTGCAACCCAGGCATGTGCCCTGACTGGGAATGGAACCACAATCCTTTGGTTCATAGGGCTGCACTCAATCCATTGAGCTACACCAGCCAGGGCTGAGTTATCTTTTTTAATTGAATTTATTGGGGTGACACTGGTTAATAAAACTATACAGGTTTCAAGGGTACAACTCAATATAACATCATCTGCCACTGCGTTGCATGCTCACCACCCAAAGTCAAGTCTCTTTCTGTCCCCATTTATCCCCCCCTTTGCCCTATTTCACTTCCCCCCACCTCACTTTCTCTCCTGTGTTTACCATACAGGTGTCTGTTTGTTTTTCCCTTAATCTCTTCACCTTTTTCACCCAGGCCTCTAACCACCCTCTCCTCTGACAGCTGTCAGCGTGTTTGGTGTGTCCATACCTCTCTTTCTACTTTGTCAGTTTATTTGGTTCATTGGGTCCTACATATAAGTGAGATCATATGGTATTTGTCTTTTTCTGACTGACTTATTTCATTGTGGGGGTAGCTGATTGATGTTTCTCTCTCACGCTGATGTTTCTCTCTCTCAGCTAAAAAAAATCAATAAACATCCCTGGATAAGAATTAAAAAAATAAATAAAAAGAAATAGAACTTTGCCACTTACCCCAGGAACCCTACTGGGCTCCATTCTAATGGACCCATTCAAGACCCCAAAATTAGCCCTGGCTGGTGTGGCTCAGTGGGTTGGGTGATGTCCCACAACCTGAGGGGTCACTCATTCTATTCCCAGTTGGGGCACATGCCTGGGTTGCAGGCCAGGTCCCCAGTTGGGAGCACGTGAAAGGCAACCAACTGATGTTTTTCTTATACATCAGTATTTCCCTCTCCTTCTCCCTTCCTTCTCCTCTCTCTAAGAATAAATAAAATCTTTTTTTTAATTGAGAACTCTAATGCATAAAGCATAATGACCATCGATTAGTAGACTAGTAACCAGTTAAAAGCCTGTCTCTAGGTAGTTGACCTGTCATGCTACTGTGGGGTGAAGGGGGAGTAGTTCCCTCCTGCTGAGCGGACAATAATGTCTCTTGGCAGGTGATCACCAATTATACCAGCAGGTAGGCACTTTATATGGCCTCTTTTTTCTTTTTCTTTTCATCCTCCTCACTTCTTTTTGGCTTGTCTCTTTTTCCTTTTTTTCCTACGACAAGTTCATTGTTAATCAGACAGCAAAATGTCTGCCTTGACTTAGATGGCTTAGGTGAAATTCTCCTAAAAGCACGTAGTGTCTGGCAATAATTGACTTTCGTTAAAATGTTCCTAATGGATTACTGAATTTCAAGAGAAGTTTGCTCTGAATGAAAAGTTGCCCGGTCACCATGCTTTGGGCATTGCAAGATAACACCTTGAGGGGAAGAGGCACAGCTTCCTTCTGGATAATTCCAAACAATGCTTTCCTCCAGGTCAGGGAGATTAATGCTCCCCCTAACCCCATACTGATACTTGAAGGTGGGTGAGATTTAGTCACTCACTTCCAAAGACTAGAGTATAGACGGGGAACGGAGAAACAGTAACATTAAAGAGGATTAAGCTGACGGATGATGCCTTAACTAAGAGATGACGGGTAACGTCACCAGAGATGTTGTGCAGCTATCAGGTAACCTCCAATATGTTGTGATGAGGGTACTTTTCCCGTTATCAACAAAATAAATAAGTATAAATACCCTCGGTGTAATGAGAAAAACGACAGGCAAACCCAAATGAAGGGCCATTCTATAAAATTCCTGGCCGGCACTACTGAAAGTTTTCAAGGTCACAAACAATTATGGGAAGAGGAAGAAGCTGGCAGAACCCAGAGCAGAGCAGGCACACATGATGACCACCTGAAGTATGGTACCCTAGATTGATATTGGGACAGAAAGGGGGCATTTAATGGGAAAAAATGTATGGAATTAGAATAGTCTTGAGTATAGTTCATTGTGAAATACCACTGTTACTTTCTTTTTCTTTTTTTAAAAGATTTTATTTTTAGAGAGAGGGGAAGGGAAGGAGAGAGAGAGAGAGAAACATCAATGTGTGGTTGCCTCTCATGAGCCCTGTACTGGGGACCTGGCCTGCAACTTAGGCATGTGTCCTGACTGGGAATCGAAACTGCAAGCTTTTGGGTTGCAGACCCACGCTGAATTCACTGAGCTACACCAGCCAGGGCAACTTTCTTCATTGTGACAATTGTACCATGCTGATGTAACAGGTTAACAATAGAGGAAAAATGGGTGAGGGATAGATGGGAATTTTGTATTATTTTTTGCAAATTTCTACGAATCTCAAATATTCCAATACAAATCTCATTGAAAGAAAGTAAACTGAAAGGACAAACGATAACATCTTTTCATTGGATAGCAAGTATTCAACATAGATTTGTTGTAATAATTCAATATTCCTAATTTCTGATGATTAAACATACCGTTAACATAATAAAGACTTGTCTTCTATTTATACTAGTACATGGCGGCCTGTTCAGTACATAAAGCAGTGAAAACCAAGACTATCAATTCGATGCAGTTGTTAATTCTGTTGATTCCATAGCTGTGGTCTCAGGCTTAGCTTTGTCTAGAGAGATCTTGTACAAATGTAGGCTGTTTGAATCAAGGAGGATTAATACTCACTGTGGTTCCCCGTGCCCTGCCCCCCCCCTGAAAAATAACTGAAAGTACATTTTCTCAAAGGTGAGCCAGCCAGCAGTGCTCTCTTTCCATATGAAGACCTGCTTGCTGATAATTAAAACTTTCATTTGACTATTAAAATTAAAGAACAGCTATAAATTAAGGTAACAATATTAAAACCTCTGGGGGTAAGTCGAAAGATCCTCTCTGTAATTAGAGAGCTCCAAACCTTAAGGAACACGAGTTCTTTTCAGCGTCAAGGTCTCATTTTGTACAGAAGCTAGTATTTTGTAAATCACTGCTCTTCCAGGGCTGAGGACACATTTTGGTTCTTGCCTAGAGTGATTGCCTGAAATATCTTGCTCTTTATGAACTACACTACAAGTTAAAAGACTGATTTCTTATCCTGATTGGACATGTGAGAATGTGGGTGGTCTTGGTCGTGACCTTTCTAGATAAGAGTTGCCATAGCTCTCTAGTTAGATGTTGGGTTATTAACCTTACTTGACTGTTCTAGTTCAAAAAGCTTGGTGATTTTATTGTAATAAACCTCCTAATGCAAGCTCTCCTTAAACACCAAAGGCATTAATTAAATAGGTGGTGGGTTCATTTTTTAATTGTTTGGATAATTTTTTTTCCACTCGTCTATGTTTTCTGAGTGTGTGTATGTGTGTAGTCACGTAAATAAAGCTGCATTTGATAACACAGTAAGGACATACACTTATAGCTTTGCATTAAGAATTACTGAATTAAACTAAAGCATTGTGCTCAGGTGGGCTTTAATTCTTTACATCGGTGAGAATTTTGCCAGGACAATCTAAAAGTTGAACTTGGCCTCCAGTCAACTCCCTGACTGCCATTTTTCCATTTGCCCGTCTTAATATTTGTACTCCTCAGTTTTTATCTCTTTTTTTTCCATTGGATTAAAACAAACAGTGAGCTTTAAAAAGAACATTCCTCATGGTAGATATCTCCAGAGAGCTTATGTTTACTTCAAACTGAGTTCTTGCCAGACCGCCCAAGTGGAAACCCCTGATCTTTCATTACCCATCAACATGTTGCACTGGACTGGATATACTGGCATAGAAATGGCGTTGCCAAGCCGATCCCTGACAGCCCAAATGGACAACGCAAAACCATGACGATAGTTTTCTATGCAGTTCTAGAAAAATAATTTACACTTTCCCTTCCTCCCTTCTTCCCTTCCTCCCTTCTTTCCTTCCTCCCTTCTTTCCTTCCTCCCTTCCTCGCTTCCTCCTTTACTCCTTTACTCCCTTCGACATGTGTAAAAAGCAAAATTACAGGTACAGTAATTTGGGGCTTAAGAATATGGACTCTGGACTTCCGCCAAGATGGAGGCATAGGTGGATGTGCCGTGCCCTCTCACACAACCAAGTTTAGAGACAACTAAATATTAGCAACAGAAATCACAGCCAGAACACGGAAAATTGAACTTTTCGGAAGTCCGTTAACAACAAATTCTTCAGCCTGACCGGTAAGGGGCGAAACCAGTGGCTGGTGGAGCG